TTAGGTACCAAAAGTACACGTGTGGCTAGTTGTATCCTTGTGAAATTGATGTAATATCGTAATTACCTGAATAAAGCCAAGTGCCGGGGATCTAAGTGGTCACCTTAATATATAAAAAAAAAAAAAAAAAGATGTGCATTTAAAAAGGTGTTGTATTTAGGAGGGTAGCATTTAGGAGTTTGGTAAGTAAATTGTTCTAAGGTTTGAAGAAAATTCTGATGTACAATAGGTCTAGTATATATTCTTCTATAGTTAGGGTTATCAATATAATTATCATAATGATTTCTGTCAGGATATCGAATTTCAGGAATATCTTAGAAAGATGTATATCTGTAAAATAAGGTAGTAACAATATCCCTTGCACTGCCAATATTTGCTCTGTATCGACAACTAAAAATAATATTTTTAGCAACAACTCAAGCAGCCAATGATTCATGTATTAGCAATAATCGATTAAGATTGTTTTGAGTAATACGAGTATAGGATTCAGCATGATAACTAGTAGAGTACCAAGTCCAGAAAATACCAAAGTTAAGTCGAGAGCTAATACAGTTTGGTGTAAAATACTTAGTACAAGAATAATCAGATGCGTTAGTTTAAAGTACAGTAGCAGCAAAAGCAAAGTTAAGTTGGTGTTGTGCTTGGTGATTAACAATATTCTGGTTATGAAATTCTGTTACAGGGATCTCCTATAAAAAAATAATAATAAACTTTGAATAGTTTAGTATAGTTAGGGATTTTAGCAAATTTGGTAATCGATAATTGCACCTTATTTAGTAACGATTAACATTCGGATTATTCTAGACTTCATTTCCAGATTGTTCTATGTATTACAATAATCAACCAATCAAATTGAAAGGCTATATAAATCAACTTCAACTGCTTTTCACTTTATGACAAACTTTACAGCTTTATAACTATGCTGCAATAAAGGCACATACATACAAACGTATGAACACACATAATTCTGGAGTTCTTTGTGGTGGCAGTACAGCAGTATAGTAAGATTGCATATTAAATTAAATCGACATTACAGCATTACAGCAATTACAGCCTTAAGAGAAGTAAATTCTAAGCTTACTTTGTCTTATTTTGTATAAATTAAATCTTTTTGAAATCTGACAGATTACATATTGAACTAACTTACTTTTTTTTTTTTGAGGTAACAGTAAGAGATCGTTGTTGTGTTAAATGGTTTTTTTAGTTTTATTGGTGATGCGTTGCTATTAAATTTAGTTAGTAGCATTTCGTTTAGCATTCTAAGTTTTTTCTACTTTTCATGTTTTAGTGCTATAATGGCTAAACTTGATAATTTACAAATAGATGGAGAAAAAATTTGGGATTATATTATTAAATGAGAAATCGTTCAAAATCCTTTTTTACCTCCTAAATGATTCGATGAACACTTAGCTTTAAAAATTCATTTAAAATTGTCTTTTTTTAATTCAAAAATATCTAATAAAATTCGACTTTGTTAGAAAATTCTTGAACCAAATTTGTGAGTGATGTTATGTTAAAATTTACGGCACCAAACAAATTTATTAAAATATTACTTTATCTTTTCGCATTCATGATGAATTACTTCATAATTACTTAATTGTAGCAAATATATTAAAACATTAAACGATTAATTAATTATTAATAAATACTACAATATATTAAAATTTATTGCACTTTTATATATAAATAAAATAGTAACTATTGATAATACTATAATAAATAACAATTTTCTAAGAAAAATTATCCTATTAATTATTCTTTGCTAACACTAATATTATTTTCAGCTAATATATTTTTGACTTCTTGAAGAATATTTACTAATTCTTCACGGGACTTATTTGATAAACCACGAAAGCACGATCGATCTGAATCATCTAAAGAAGGAATTAAAGAGATAATAATAAATAAAATTTCTGATTTTTTTAAAGAGCCTTCGCTTTTTTGAAGTTTTGCCTCATCACATGTTATGGAAATTGGATGCCAAATGCCTAAAGGTGTTTTTTTAATTAATGTTGCTTTAATAAATTCATTTCTTTTCGTACTCGTGATTTCACTAAATCTTATCATTTGTTCACTTAATGTCAATTCTCCACCTAGATTTTGAAAAATACGATTATCAGCATTTGGATTTACAAATTGAGCTTTTCTTATTTGAACCCAGAATCGACGTGATTCAGCAGTAAAACTGGGACATGTACGAGGCCCATTGGCTTCACTTTCAGAGTATCCTATTATATTAAAAATGTTAGTACACAATTTTGAAAAATTAGTACAATTACGTGCTGCAATTTCCCAATGCCATTGTGAAGGTATTGGAGGAATTAATGATTTCAATGATTTGTTAATTTCTTCAAATATTGCATCATGGCCTTGATGTTGGTTTGAAAGTTTGAAACGCAAAGTAACAACCCTTTCTTGGATTAAATTTCGAATTTCAGGTCTTAATCATAGCATTTGTTCTTCATCAGCAATTTCGATTAATCGATAGATTGGATGCCATTGAGCAGACCAAATAGGTGCAAACATTTGCCTAGCTGCAAACTTTAATAAAGGCTTATTAAAATGAACACTGGTACGAAAGTTAATAATTGCTTGCAAATAAATAAAAGTTTGTTCATACTTTAACCTAAACATATGATCAGTCTGATTTTGAGCCTATTTTAAAAATTTTTTAACAGAAGGATTTTCTTCAGAAATAACATATAGCCACATTAACTCAGATGCCATTGCATGTCTATATATATTATATATAGAATCCTACGATTTATAATAATTGAAGCATTTTTTGAAAAACTGAAGTTAGTTGTTAGTTCGATATCTTTGGCACTTAGCAAAATCTTTTAGATCAATATCCCAATTTAATTCAACGAGTGCCTTTAACATATTCATTTCTTCATGAAGGGCACCCGGAATTAATATAAACCAAGAAAAATCTTTTTTCATTTTTTGTATATGATGATATGGTACTCCATCACAGGTAACTACAACCCATTTACAGCTACCATTTTTAACTCCAGATATTTTTTCAATATGCTCAAGAACTTTTCTAACATTAGTAACCAAGTTTGGATTAATTCCTATTGGATCAGAAACAAATATTTGTGGCTTATGGACTTCACTTTCCAGAATTAATCATTGTTTAAATATGTAAAGAGAAATGGGTGATTTTTTAGCGGCATTTACGATTTTAGATTGTTCATCAACTATCTCAGCAAGCGTTTGTAATTTATTTTTGCATTTAGGACAAACTCACTTCTTATTATTGATATTAGAGAGAGGTCTGGCAAACTAGACATTTTTTTGTATATCCTATTTGACTTTGCTGATGAACCAATTCGTCGATTATATTTGTTTCTTGATTTTCTTAATGCAAAGCTCATCTAAAATAGTCAAAAGATAATTAGTAAGTTCCTCATTAATTTCATCACTCATACCTGATGATAAATAAAATAACTCTTCATATTGTTTTGGGTCAAGTTTCGTATATAGCCAAGGATTTTCACTTTGAATATTATTACTCTGGCTATAGCTAAATGCAATAAAACTCGTAACCATGTGGAATATAACTGTATTATTCCCACGATCCAAATAGTTTTTTTGACCTTTCTGTTCGTTGTCAAAGGCCAAAAACAAAAAACCCTCAGGAAGCTGTAGTTGTTCTCCAGCTAAACTTTCTAACCAATTATTGAACTTCATATAACTACCAGAGCTAATAATATGGTTATCAATATCAATGATCATTTTTGATCTTGCTAATGAATACTTAACTGCCAAAATTGCCAAATTAATAGCCAATACATATCTTAAATGCCTTGACCTATATATAGCATCAACTGCTACTGTATACTTGAAAAGCTTTTTCTCTTCATACTGATGTTCATTCTTATTATATGTAAGAGTTTCTATAAACTTGATGATGACCGGATTCTGCTCAGCAAGCCACTTGGAAGGAGAATACTCCAAAAGACTACCTAAAAAAAACTATTCTTAATTCTTTATTAAATTCATTATATCTTCACACAAATTACTTCATTTTTTTTTGGCAATCTCTATTATAGAATGAATGCGATCTTCTTGGTTAGTAAATCTTTCACTTAGCTTTTTTTTTAATGTTTTATTTTCACTTAATAATTGCTTATTATTTTTTTCTAACTCATCAATTCTTCTTTGAAGAATTTCACACATTGGATCTGAAAAGGATACTTGGAATTCAAAATCAACACAAGCTTTTTCAAACAAATCTACTTGAATGCTAAAATTGGTGAAAGTCTTTTCAGGAACTTGCAGCTCAACGTTGTCAATAGAAAACTTCAATTTTTTTTTCTCTGGTTCTTCTAATGAAAAAAGAATTGAATCAGTTTTTTTCTTTAATTGATCAATAAAAGATTTTTTAGCAATGATTCGGTTATAATGCCCTTTACATAAAGAATAACCCTCTATAGAGGCAAGATATTGAGTTAATTCAGAAAAATACTTAGCCATTTCTGTTATTCTTTTTGTTGCTGCAGCAGCAGACACATTTCGCCACTTCCCAATTCTACATATTTCTATATGTTTTAGCAAGTCACTATCTTTGTATTTTTTAGCAAAAAAAACGAAGAAGCAAGGCAGATCTTTGGCTTCAGAGTTTGAATTCATGGTTGATCAATCTACAAACTATAAAATTTAAACTTTGAATTTGTGAAAAAACTAATTTGTTAAGTTTCAGGGATCCCCAGGAATTCTTAAAGTACGTGCTTAAAAATATATATATCGATAACTAGTTTCGACTTTTGTTATATATTGGTTACGTATTAGATCAACAAAATACCATGACTTTTTTTATAAGAAGGCCAATTATATTTCGGGTGATGATCGTAGACTATTCTAGAAATAATCTACAAATTTTCAATAATCCCTGACTGTAGTAGTAATGTGAATGAAAATTATCTTCTAAAGATAATTATAAATATGATGATTAAATAATAAAAGTAATAAAGTAAATAGAAATAAAATAATAAAATAGTATGTATGTAAAAAAAGATTTAAACAATTATAACAAAAAAGTAATAACATCAAATAACAATTTCAAAATTTTAATTCAATTCAATTCAATAACAAAATAATTTCAATTTTACTATACTGGTGACTTGCAAGAAGTAAAGTATAAACTCTTCAAGTAAAAAAAAAAATAAATACAGATTAGTAGTTTTTATATCTTTAAAATAATTTAAATTCCAATTGCTTTTTTTTTTTTTCAATAGCCGATTTCCAAAAGAGTAGTTGTAGTCCAAAGATAATCCAAGAGAGATAGTTCCTAGTAAACCTTGATAAAATCCTCTAAGATTTTATACTTTTCTACTAGAAATTACATCAAGAGTAGTTTCTTTGAGATTTTTCTTTTAATTTCTGCCAGGAGGCACCAAAATGTTACAATACTATAGCCTTCTTAGTATAAATATAGCAAAGTAACAAGGTCACCCGGTGTAGTGATATACTTTATGAATATACACGGGGTAGACGTGAAGTGTATACTTTAACTTCATAGCAGAAGGCAAACAGTTCAAGATAATAACAGTATATAGATAATAATATTTATTAATGACAATTCATGGTAATAACTTTGCCTATAAGAATTACTCTAGAGGGGAAATATCATACTTTACAAGTAGAGAAGAGTAAAGGGGTGAGGCTAATTTTTATAAGAGGGTAGGAAACTCTAACTTGAGTAGAAGAGGCAAAGGCTCTCTTTTTATAACTTTTCTACAGATAGAAGTATAATGGTATAATTGCTATATTGTGTAGAGGTACTCAGAGGCACTTGTGTAGAGGCATTTAGAGATACTTTGTATAGAGGCACTCAAAGGCACTTTGTATGGAGGTACTCGAAGGCACTTTGTGTAGAGGCACTCAGAGGCACTTTGTGTAGAGATACTCAGAGGTACTTTGTGTAGAGGCACTCAGAGGCACTTTGTATAGAGGCACTTGAAGACACTTTGTGTAGAAGCACTCAGAGGCATTTTGTATAGAGATACTTGGAGGCACTTTGTGTAGAGGCACTCAGAGGCACTTGTGTAAAGGCACTTGAAGGTACTTGTACAGAGGCACTTAGAGGCACTTGTATCATATACTATTTTACTTAGCCGCAATATTACTGTGCTATATTATTTTACCCAATAAAATCTCTTCTATATTAAGTATAATTAACTATGGTGCTTCAAGTTACTTCTCATCAAATCCTGCTTACTTTTTTAAAATCTTATAACTAGAAAATTTAAAAATTTATTAAAAACATAACCGATAAGAATGATTATTTTTAAGTAACTCTATTAGATTTATTAGTTAAATTTTTTTCAAAACTCTAAATATTTAAGTTATAAGCAGTTAAAGTTAAGAAAATTTGTACAAGTTACTATGTAGTTTATAAAATTGGCACCATATTACTATATATAATCTACACAAAAATTGGTATCATATATAAAATTGACATGAAAGTTAGTTTATCTTGCCTTCTGTAAAACCATTTTTTTAAAAAAAAAATTAGTCTTATACTCTTTAAGAGCTCTTTAGCCAATAGTTTGGGGTTCGATCATTGAAATTTATGCAAGTAAATTAATGTATATTGGGTAAGATTAATAAACAAATTTAAGTTAGGTACGTAATAGTATTGTAGACGATTGTAGTTTGTGCATAATCGCAGTGCCAGTCTAATGTAGTTTGTGCATAATCACACTTACCAATTATGTCATTATTTTGTAGTCTAATACAGTGAATCACTATAATAAAAAGGGATTAGTAAGTCAGGATGCCTCTCTTCCCAATTGCAAAATTAATAACAATAATTATAAAACCCGGTTATTAAATAAGTGCATAGGTGTTGTGGGTAAAGGTGTGATTTGAAATAAGAAAAAGGGTTTTGTTAGCATAGAAAAAAGAGAGAAATGAACCAAATGAAGCCAAAAGTAAAGAATAACTTATCCAACGTTGGGTGGTCATTACCAAGATATTAACAAAAAAGAACCTAGGCAGAAAGTAAAGCCTTCTTGCATCCAGATTGTAATGTATTGACAGAAGCTGAAATTCAGTTCCTGTTAAAAAATAAAAAAGTAAATTTAATTAATCAATTGATGGTTTTATGCATTAAAAGAATTAGTGAAACAAAATATTAAAGACAATACTTATCCATGTTTATACAATAACATTAATGGTAAAAGGTTTTGATTTAACCAAGCCTAACGGCCATGCATTTGAGTTGAAATGTCAATCTATTTTAATCAAATTTACAATCAAACTAGTTCGATTTATCTAATGCCTCTATAAAAGGACAATCAAATAAAAGAAACTGATTGTTTTACTTCACAATATTCTATCACGATAATATTTTTTTAGCGTAAGAATATATAATTTTCATCTGAATGTTTCATGCCTTAATAATTTTTTATCGTGTTTTATCTCATTATCAATTGCACTTATAGCAGTGCAGCTATGTTATCTATGAATACATTAATAAGTAATGGAAAGGAAACATGTAAATTGATTAAAGCTTCTGCAATAACAATAGATTTTTGAGGTTAAATCCATTTAGGTAAACATCTATTAATTCACAAAAATTTTTTTTTACCATATCATAATACTAATGCTAAGACTTTTTAAAAAACTGATTCAAATTTACATAGTTGACATGATTTCAAACAAAAAAATAAAACTTAATTATATTATATATTGTAAAAAACATATATAAAGCGATATTTTTTCGCTAAAGCTATCATTTAAACTACTTTATCTTTATGATATTGTCTTATTATACTCTATTTTAAAGTTTGATCATGCCAAAGTCAAAACATAAAAATGCCGCAAAAGAACGTATACTTACACAAGGTAGAGATAATGAAGGAAGATTTTCAAAAACTATAGACACAGAAAGTAGTGATTTAGAATATAGTGATCCAGAACTTTTAATTTATGAATCAGAGAACAATAATGAGAAAGAACTTGATAATGAGATAGAACCTAATGAAGAAAAAGCTAAACGGTTAATTAATGGAGATAATTCTTTTTATAACTTAAAGTGGGATAATAATGTAGCTGATGGTCGGTTATCATATTATTCTGGTAGTTCAAAACGTACTCAGCAACGTAAAAATAAAGAGTTACGGGAGGCAGCGCAAGGGTCAATGAGTTTGGATAATTTTTTTGAACCAAAAAAAAAATTAGATGTTAAGTATGAAATGTCAGACTCAAATACAAGCGATTTAGATATAACAAATGATAGTTCTATTTCAGAATAGTTAAATAAATTAAATAATACACTTAATAATATAAAGCATATGAATGCTTATAAATACCTTCGATATCTAGCTGTTCATAAATATCTTACAAAAATTTTTGACTATGAAAAGCCACAATCTCGTATAGAATTAAGTCTTGAAATATCACAACAGGTCTTCCAAC